GAGGAGTGGAATTTTGAGCATTTTTAATTTATGGATATTTATTTTTAGTTTGTAAAAAAATTTCGAACTTTAATAATAAAAAGAAGAATTTATGAAAGCTATTAGAACAATTCTTTGTTTAGATCAAATTAATTAAAAAAAAATTTTTGTATTATTTTTAAAGCTTACACCATTTACTTATACTATTTTACTTAACATCTGAAATTAAATAAAATGAAATCAATCAAACATTCCTATCAAAGTTTTTTTATATCTAGATTTAATTATGTTTGATGTTGAATTTTAAAACTTTTTAAATAAATGAAATTAAAGAGAGGTCTTTTTTTTAATTCTTTTCCTCTCTCTCTCTCTCTCCCTTTTAGATTCAGGTAACAGAAAATAATAACAGAGATATCATTTTGAACATTTATAAATTATTATTATTGTAGTGAGAAAAAATGACATAAATGACCCAATTCATTTATTTATTTTAGGCAATTACTTTCGTTTTTCAGAATTTAAATTTAAAAAATTTTCGAATATTTGTAATTTTATCAATGGATGGAATTTAAAAATTCAAATTTAAAATTTGAGAATTATTAGACATGTAATCTTTTTTCCTAACTTTTATTCCATAATCTTATACTCTTATTTTATATTCACTCATAGAAATTGAGAATAAGAATATAAAATAAATTGCAACAAAATTACATGAAATAAACTATAACAAAATTACAGTATTTATAGTAATATATTTTCCGGAAAAAGTAATTAAATTCGGAAGTGAAAAAATTTGAGTGACCGAATCTGAAAATACATATTCATTTCATCGATTCTGTAACAAATCCTACAATTCTAATTAATAAATTAATAGAAAAAAAGAGCTGTTCGTTAGTTAGTTAATCAATTTCGCCAATTTAAAATAATAGAAATAATCAGCGAAATGCCGCATATCACATCTGTCAAAAAAAAAAGAGAAAATTGGAGAAAATGAAAGATCATTTGATTCTCTCTCATTTAATTTGATAGGTAATTAATTAATCAATGATATCAAAAAAGGCAGATTGAATGAATTCATAAAGAATAAAAAGAGAGAAGAAAAGGGGAAAAAGAAGAAATTCAGTTCAAAATGGGATACATTAAATAGAATGCAAGCTGTTTTAATTTTTAATTTTTTCCTTTTTTTTGCAAATATCAACAAAATTTTTCTATTAGTAAAATGTGAAACATCTGTCACTATTATTTTATGTCGCATAAATTGTGGAATTTATAATATCTTCCAACTATTTTGCCTTTCATTGATTTTTTTATTTGGATTTAAATTTTCAAATTTAAATTAATTATAATATGTTTAAATTAATTATATTATATTTCAAATTTTATCAAGACTATGAAACTTTTGGTACAATAAAAGCCATTTTGATGAATTTGAATTACAAGTTGAGATGTGTGGGATGTAAATGAATATTGAGAGTTTTCAATGATTTGCTTTACATTGCCTATGCACTATGAAAAGTGAACTTATTGACAGTTTTATCTTTTCACATTACTCTCAGTGATTAAGGTAAAAAAGTAAATCTGAGAATTATTTCCAAATTTGGCAATAAAAGTTTCAAATTTCTCACTTATTAAATTAAATAGAAGCATTGATTTAATTTAATTGTTATTCCACCAATTTAAATATATTATTTAAATCACAACGAAACACTTTATGTGCATTTTTCTTTCCAAATTTATTTATGATGTTGGAGTAAAAAAAATAATGAACTCTGATATTTATAATGTTGGACTTAAAAATAATAAACTGTGACTTGAAACATGATGAACTATGATTTTAAATATAATGAAATATGACTTTAAAAATGATGAGCTGTTGTTGAATTCTTTTTTTAAATTCCTGCTCTCACTTTTTTTTACGCTTTTCTTCTTTTTGGATGTTGTTTAAATTGCAATGTAAGAGCAATTTGAACATTTAAAATATTTATATAAAAGAATGTCTCGACTCATCGAAATACATCGGTAAAAATCTCGAGAATTAAAGCGTGAACATGATATGGACTGCTGCTTGATTTTTTAAATTGAACTTTCAAGATATTTCATTTCACATTAGTGAAATTTCACTCACATGTTCGGAATAACTGTCAGAACATGTTACTTTTATGTTAAAATTTAAATCCCTGTATATTCTGGCATTTAAAAATAAATTTATATTTCGAGTGAATGCATCATTTGACATATTCGAAATATGCTAATCAGGCATCAGTAACTTGAGGGTGAAATTGGAAACTTTGATGCAAAATTTCTAATTCCAACTTTTGTTTTGAATTAATAAGGAGAAATTGTACTGTTTGTTCTCAATATGTACCAAGCCGAGAAAGAGAGAAAAAAAGAGGAGGGGAAAGAAAAAGAGAGAGAGAGAAAAAAAGAAGCTTACCCGTTTGTTTTTATATCAGTTTCCGCGAATTTTTATTGGTTAGAATTGCTTCATACACGGAAGATCGCGGGATTTTAGCAATGCACACACACCGTAAGCCTGATATGCAGCACCCGCAACAGCACCACACGCTAGCAGGTTGATTTTGCGAACTATGTTCGTTATTATGTATATGTAATGGTCGTGTATATATGCAAAACATCATCAGGAGAAAGGCGGGGGGAAGGGGGCAGGGAGAGCGGAGGAGGGGGTTGAATTTGGTTTGGGACCAAAAGGGTTTTCTTCGATGAGATAGATGTCGTGGTGGTTGTGTTGTTGTTGTTGTTGTTGTGTGTGTGTGTGTGTGTGTGTGTGTGTGTGTGTGTGTGTGTGTGTGTATGTATATATGTTATGGAAAATAGGAAGGTACCGCCTGGCACCTCGGGTACAGCGTGCTATACTACCATTACTACCATTCATTTGCTTCGGGCAACTGACCAATTCATAATAATCGTAATGCCATGTTTTCTCTCTTTATTTCATTTCATTTCATTTCATTTCAAAATTCTCCACTACCTCCCCCCTTCTTTCTCCTCCATCAGTGTTGCAATGTTTTCTTGTTACTTCGGGAATGATATAAAAGTACACCTCTACCTTTGCCTCTGCTTCCACCTCTGCCTTTTCCAATCCATTTTCAAGTTCACAAACAAACAATTTTAAAACCATTCCGATTATCCATTCATTCACTCAGCTCTGCGAGCAAAAGGAAAACAAAAAGAAATGTTTTCGGTAATATCACAAGGCAGATAGGGTAAGAGAGAGAGAGAGAGAGATATTGGACGAAAGAAACAAGAAGGGACAAACAAATTTTGTGAAAATTTAGTTAAACAAATGAATGGCACACAACAGAAATTGAAGCAGTAGTTTGCTTTCCTTTCTTCTTGGCTGTTGCAATTTTAAGTTGCAGAAAAATCGATCCCACTTCGTTCCTATACGTGCCAGTCTCAATTGGTCAAGATTGACTAGCCAGCCTGCTTTGTATTGACCTATCTAATCTATTCCCACAGCAACAACAACAGCAGCAACAGCAGCAGCAGTTCTCTCTCTTTTTTGAATCTCTATTTTCTGTTCTTATTTATTTCTTTCTTTGATACATCGTATTTTGTCAGCCTTTTTCATCTACAATCCACACCGGTGTCTATGATATTGTCCTTGTTGCTGTTTTCTTTGTCAGTGAAATGCTTTGTCAGTTTTCATCATATTTCACATGCACTTATCAATCATATGCTGCCGTATGTTGTACTATGTTATCACTGCATGATTGTCTACATTTCTCGTTGTAATATTTTCCTATATTACCTTTTCCTTTCTTACCTTTGATTGTGGAAATGTTGCATAGTGTATCAATAGCAACTGACAATCTGCGTTCCCATTGTGTAACTTTAGCGCTCTCTTTCTCTCTTTCTCTTTCGTCATATATATATTCATAGATCAACGTGAAATTCTTACGAGCTCTTTTTCTGTGAATTTTCTAAAATTTTAATAGAGTGAAATAGAGAGAGAGAAATTTTTTCCATAATCCGTTCTTTTTGGTAAGAGAGAGGACAAGAAGAGAAAGTGAAAAGTTCACATAACAGAGCAACAAATAAATAACATAACATTATAGTGCATAGACTATTAATTACGAGATATCGCTGATAGAGTGAAATATATTATTATGAATGACCTGTTGGATGGACAGAGTGTAATAAGATAGCGTTTAGAATTGAGAAGAGGATGCAAAAGGATATGGTGTGTGGATGAGAATGAGAGTGGGAGAGTAAAATTAGGAGTGGAAAACATTTTAGTAAGAATTATCACCGAAATATTAGTAATTTTATAACAGATATTAAGAAATTTGTTTTAGATTTAAATTTCGAATAGATAAATTCAAATTTTTAATTTAAAAGAGATTTTTTTTTGGTCATTTTTTCATGGAAAATATTATTTGTAAGACAGAAATCGAAAAGAATAAATTACCTTTGTTAATTAATTCTTTATTCGTTCGTTGAATTTATCTATGCTAATGAAATTAATCTGGAGGAGATAGAAAGAGACAATGAAGTGTCACTAATGTATGATATTTGATTGATACAGTAACCGATCGGTTCACCGTACTAGTTGACTGAATTAGATCCAAAATAATGGAATACTCACTCCAATTTTGTTCAATATTTGCCAACATATTAGTTCTTATAGCTTTTATGGGGGATAGTTAAAAAGTATTCAGTCAATGTGATATTGTTTATTCAACATTATCATTGGTTATAAAATTGTAATACATTGTTAAATGATGCAACGTTGCATGTTGAAATATGCGATCTGAAATAATTTTAAAATGGAAATATTATATTTTTGAAGATGTTTTATGGAAAAGACAGTGAATTGTGGTGCGATGATATTTGATGCTACTATTTGTTGTCGGAAATCCGACAATAATACGACAAACAAATACCATTCTTCTTTTAGCAGTGAAAATGAAAGTTAGAGTTTCAATGGTTAGAGCTCATTAATTGTTGCCATTTCAACGAAATATATTTCCGGTGTCTCCCAAGCTGTTATTGAAACCTTACAACAACGGCAAATGGCCATAGCTAGGCTTAAATTTGTGTATCACCAGGAGGAATGCCAACAGCAGGGAAGAATTATCAGAAATGAAAAGCAAGCATGCTGTTTTAGCATCAATGTGGGACTGCTCCAATCGGTGCCACCCTGTGGCTACTCGTGTTGGCCACTTTTCTCGATGACCCATATATAACGGCATCAAAACAGGCGACATCGTGAGCTCCGCCTCTTCGTTTCATATTTTACGAGTTATAAAGGTTAGGATGATGGAGAAATGATGAGAGTCACAAGGATGAATTCCAATTTTCTCATACAATTAGCATGCTAAAGAAATGCAACGAAGGCGGTAGTGATATTATGAAGGGCATTTATGTTAGATGAAAAGCGAGAGGTAAATTGAATTGAAGAAGAGAACAGAACGAAAGATGGAAGAAGGAACCCGTAAACAACTGACCAGTGCATAGTGACACATAGTAGTATAACGATGGGATAAAAATGACCAGGTGAAATCTATGAAAAGAAATAATTTGATAGAATGAGGGGAGAAGGAAGAAGAAGAAGGAGGAGGTGGAGGAGGAAAGAATAAAAATTCAAAATGGGGAACATTTCATTTAATTATTCCTTAATGATAAATAAAAGTTTTTAGGATTATAATCAAAATCAGCAAAGGGATAAATTTGATTTGAAAATAATCGGTTAAAATAAAAAACGCAATGAATGGTTTGCAGTGGTTGTCAATAAATATTTTGATTCAAAAAAAACATTTCGGTTCACACTAATTTCTCATTCTCAACAACAATATTAGAATATTAAAGCATTATTTGCTCGTAAATTATTTAATTGAAGTAGAATAGAATAAGCAATTCATGCAAATCCTATTTGAATAAGTGTCATCTTTTGAACTTTCCGATAATTTCCTTTGATTTCCTTAGGTGTTCGAATTGATTAGTTATGTATTTGTATTTATTTGCTGTTATAGCGGAATTCCTTGTTTTTTAATTTTTGAAGATTGATTTTTAAATTTTGAAAATTCTGCTATAGAAATCTGTAAAAATATTTATTAATCAAAACTATCAGCAGTTTACATACTTAGCCTTTCTTGTAAAAATTGAAATTTCGTTGTGTATTATGGAATTTTTTCTCTTTTCATTAATCAAAAATTCAAAAACAATGGAAAGGTGGAAGATGCGAAATAGAATGAATATCGAAATGAGTCCGTAAACAAAATATTTAGGAGATTGTTGAAATAATTTAGTAATCTGATGGAATGAATAATTAGAGAGAATGATGAAAGTATATGAGGTAGTGATAATGTTACATAACAAGTAAAAAAGATTGGTGATGATTTTAAACTTAATTATTATCATGATAAAACGATGTTTGAACAAATATTGTTTGATTGCATATGAACTACGTTTTGCTTTCAAATCACTCCATGAACTGGATATTGAAGAAAAGAAAAATGTATGTATGACAAGAAAATAATAATAATGATGATGATGATGATCATCATCATGACAATGGTAATGATGTTGATGATGATTTCTACAATGATGAAGTAATTTGAAAGTGACACTAATGAGAAAGGAAGCGGTGAATTTTGCCGTAGGCTAATTATTGCACAGAAAATTTGAAATATCTCAACAAATTTTCTCATCAATAATGATAGTGATGGTGATAGAGATGATAATTATAATTATATATATTGCGTCAATATATTATTATTATTCCTTCATTGTTTCAATTATTCAAATTTGTGCAAATAAATTATCTGACAATAAATTTAAAATTACATGGTATTTCATTGATTTAACATATTACATTATCAAAATACAAATATGGATAAGCAAATTAATTAACTAATGCCTATATGCACTAATAATATATATCAAAATTTGTTTTAACTAATATATACAACAGAATTTAATGACATTTGAATTCACAATTTGAAAATTTATAATAAAATTTCATTTGATATATATGATGTAAATTAAAAAAAAATTTTCAGACTTTTCATTCGATAATAATATATCAAATCTTCCAATATTGTATATATGAATAATGTATAACGATTATGATGCAAAATTTCAACTTGTTCCTTTAAATTAATCTGCTAAATTTGACAGTTGAATTCAAATTTAAGTTTAACTGATCTTATTTTTCAAATTATTAAAAGTTAGCCATAGGCTATATTAGCCTTTACTGGTAAACAAACAAATAGATCCAAGAAATTGATAAAAATTTAGCATAATTTAGTATAATTGGCCATATGACAATATGTGCATATGCCTCATTTATCAGTTTATTTTACTTCACTGTTCTACTGTCAAAATTTCTTTTTTCTCTTCATTTCCCATCGGATTTCTCTTTCTGTGCACTGATAAACAAACATGCGAAAGATTGATATGATTATGATAATTTTAGGAAATAACATGAAAATATGTCAATTGTAAATCGGGTTGAAGGAGAAACTCTCTTTTATTTTACTGAACAATCAATATCTCCAAATCTTTGCAAAATCGGTCTCGGAAAATTGACCATATCTCGTCGTATTTTTATAATTCTTTGATGAAATTGTTTCTTTCAATCGATAATCGGATATAACATATATCAGGCAATCTTAAATAATTGATGATATTTATTATCAAAGAAAACAAAAGAAAAAAAAGCAATAATATATAAACATATTTATTTATTGATTCAAATTTAATAAAATACATTATTTCTTCGTATAAAGTTGACATGTGATGTTGAAATGGTAGATATGAATTACTATCATATGTTAAATGATTGTTTTACAGAATGCCTGAATAATAATGGAGAAATTATTTTTTAAAATTATTCAATTATTCTAATTATTTGATTTTAATCACATTATTGCTCCAATATTTTAGACGTATATTCCATGTATTATATCTTAGTATAGTATTATAATTTTAAAGAAAACAATGAAATAATTTTGGAAAAATAGGAATGGAAAGAAATTCATAGATATTAAAGGTTAGAGGTGAAATTTAAAAGCAAGATAAGCGTAGAGGTGTTAATTATGCAGTAGTTACTGAAAAAAAATGTGGTAAATTTTTTTCCAATCAATATTTTATTGGTGAAAAGTATAAGTTTGCTATTTTATAGCAAATAGCTTGTAAAATTTTTGAGAATTATAACGTCCACTGCCAAAAAGCTCTTTAGCAACGCCTAAATTATCCTATCTCCAGACAGCTATCACACAACATTTCAACATTAAATCTTTTCCATTCCATCTACAATACTTTCCACTGAATCGTTTTCCTTCTATATCCCTTAGTATTAATTATGTGGTAAAATTGCATTTTTAATATTTATTACAATCTTAATTATCCTATTCAATAGTATTAGTAAATATCATAGAAAGCATTGATTAGGTTAGACAAATCGGATAAGAAATAACTTAGTCGATAAAAAGTAAATTTAAGATGATCAATTTTAATTAGTTATACTTTAATGATTAACGATTCATTCATTATTTTCGATTCCAAAAAAAATTCAACGAACACTTTTTTTAATTGACCGATTTTAAAAATATTCCATTTATTTTCCTCAATGTTAATTAAGTAATACGATTGCATTTTTAATATCCATTACAATCATAATTTTTGATAATTTAAAGAAAAATCGGTTTATCAAAATATTAGCAGCCTTGTTTTATTACTTACTTATTTACTTACTTACTTACTTAATTACTTATTTACTTACTGCTTCTATTATTTCCAAATTGCAATAGTTTTATAATATACTGTACTGATTGAATTTGCAGCAAATATAGAAAAATGAAAGATGTTAGAAATAGAATAAACAGGATAAAATGATTAAGAGTTGTTGATATTTCAATCAATAAGCTATTAAATACTGCTACTTACTATTTCTATTAAGCAGTTAAAAAAGTTAGTAGCAAAATGAACTTTTGCGAAGATTCTGTGTGTTTCTATTTTAATTCTTCATTAATTATTGTTATACTATAATAAAATAAATTTATCGAATAAAACAAAAAAAAAACTTTAAAAAAAACTTTAATGCTAAATTGATACTAAATATTATACATATAAATCAATTAAAAGAGAGAAAGAAAAGGAATGGAAAGATAAGAAATTTCAGAGAGAAGAAAGAAAAAGGAAAGAAGCTGTCTGAATTAGTTAACAAGCATTAACTATACTTTGAATTGCTTTATTATTGTTAATTATTATGAATACATAACGATTTGGCTAACATTTCCGGAAATAATATTGCTTCATTCCCTCCAATTACTAACAAAGGCCTATAATTTTATATAATATTTGATATGATTTAATAATATTATTTTTTAAATTAATTCACAATAATTATTTATTAATTGTTTTTCCTTTCTCTTTTGTTTTTTTAGGCGATAATAATTTATGATAATTTCTTAATTTGTTGCTTTACTCAAATTCTCAATTAGTTATAATCAAAATATATGAAAGGTGGAAGAAGTTTTAGAATGTTCTGCAAGACAGAAATATTTGAGCTTTGTATGGGAGAGTCTATTTGAAAGAGGCAGAAGAGATAAAAGATGATATGGAAAACAAAATAAATACGATCGGTGAGTACGATTATAAGAAATTTTGAAGTATTATTGCATTCCGAATTAAATTGATCATAAAATATTATTTCCCTTTTTGATTAAAATCAGCAACATTTTGCTCTTTGGAATGAAATAATTTCAAATGAGAAAATTTTGAAAAAGATAAATTTAAATAAAATAGTAAAAATCATTTGTAATTGTAATATCCGAAAAACAAAAAGAAATACTTCAAAAGTTTATCAATGAAAATTAATTTAAAAAGCTTTAATTAAATCAAAAATTTTTCGTTTTACTATATATGTATCAGCTTTACTGATAAGCATATTTCGTTGATATTAATTCATAATATCAATTGAGTAGATTCAATATTGAACATATAACATGTAATATTATTATCGATTATATTATCAGATAATGTTATTTAGTTAATTTTATGACAGCAATACTTACAAATATGTCGTCTCTCTATCTCTTTCGTAGTTCTTTTCAATCATCTAAATATGTTAGAATAAATTGATTTACTACTTTTGCCATTTGATAATTTTAGTTGAATAGTATTATTTGCTACCTATGTATATAATTTAATAATATAAATTTATATATATAAAATACTACTAAGAAAAAATGATGGAAGATAA